CATCTGGAGCACCACTTGAAGACCATCGGCATTGACAAAATCACCATCAGTCAATTGCAAAAGGCAGCTTTACCTGGACAGCTTACCTCCTGCAACGATACCTTTAACACCATCGAACAACAAAATCTGCCTATCCCAGGTTCCTGAGAAGGACTCGATAGCTGGATAAAAATGCCAGATCCAGTCTAAAAATCTGGCTGACTGGGCGACCAACCACCATGATCATCATCATCATCATCATGCTTTGATAAGTCACTGTGTGTTGATAAAAGAGGAAGGTAGAAAGAAGTTGCAAAAACTCAAGTACCATTTTACAATGCCTCCAGTTTAAGATCTGAGGCACCAGGCCGTCGTTGTTCCATTCTCCCCACAGACCAGAAAGATGTAAGCAGGAGAAGGAAGGGCCTCTTCTCCCATCCCCCGTTGTCGCTTTCTGTTTCCTTCTTCAGATCCAGGGAAGAAATCCAGGTCAGATGCTGATATTGCCCCAGAGCAACACCATTAATAACAGGCTCATCCCTGATGATAGCGCAGACTTAAGCAAAGCAAATCAGCTAATAGAATATTCTGAATGTGTGGTGGGGGTGCCTTTTTTCTTTCTCTTTTCTGCAGGAAGGGGTTGTGAATATATCCCTATAGAAAATGGAAGAATACCTCATAATTCTGAATGGAACCAACCATTTCCAAAATGGGAGGGACAAACAATTGACTTTTATTGTTATCGTGGATTTCTGGCTGCAAACAAACAGACATGGCACAGGGCCACATGCATTAATTCCCACTATGTCCCAGAACCAAAGTGTTTCAGTAAGTACTTTTTTTCCCCTTTGCATTTTCAGTTATGATCCGGAATACAGTAGATATTGCCAAGCATAAGCAAAGCAGGCCAGGGAGATGCTACCCTGAACTTGCTTTAACCTCAAAGAGGCAGCACCCAACTGAGATCTCAGCCCATTCTTCGGTTCTTCTGCCTGATGGGGGCTGCTTCTGCTGCTCTTTCTTCTCAAGGGACCCTTAAGGCTATTTGGAGGCTACAGTTTGCAAAAGCGTGTACTAAAAGCTAAAATGAGAGAGGTGAAGACCTTTGTTAAAAAAACAAACAGAAAAATAGTGTTCTTGGTCATCATCTTCTTCCTCTCTTCA